ACGTGCATTTGTTGAGGTCCTACTATGGGCCTGGGCCTGTGTGGACACAGGGGATACTGAAGTAAATGGCACAAAGCCCTGCTTTCCACATTAGTGGGTTTCCCATGGATAAATGTACACATACTTATATAACCTCTCAAGATTTTACAAGCAGAGTGATGTCAGCACCACGGCAGCATAACTGTTCCTTTTTTCCCTCTCCTCCAACTAACTGATTTACAATGAATCAAACTCCGCAACCAAACAAAAGCCCCTCTGTACAGCACACTAAGACACCTGAGACATTTACTCACTTGTGCATCTAGAGGTGGGTGGACCTTGGAGGAGGCTGTGGAGTCAAGGGCTCTTGTGGCACCAGCACCAGAGGTGTGGGTCTAAGATTTAAATATAAGATTTGATACTCCCAGAAGGAAATGTAGGGAAGAAACGGGTCGATATTGGTCTTTGTCAGTGATTTTGTGGACATGATGACAAAAGCAAAAATCAACAAACAGGACTACATCAAAAGCTTCTGCATAGCAAAAGAAACAAGTAACAAGATGAATAGACAACCTACACAACAGATTTGTACAAACCATATATCAGATAAGCAGTTAATATTAAAAATATATGACGGAGCCCTGGCCAGTTTGGCTCAACGGTTGAGCGTCGGCCTGCGGACCAGAGAGTCCCGGTTCAGTTCCCGCTAGGGGCATGTACCACCAAAATAAATAAATAAACAATACGTATACACACACACACACACACACACACACATATATGACGAACTCATGCAGGCTTAACAACAACAACAAAAAGGCCACAAACAATTCAATTAACAAGTGGGCAGAACTAAAGAGACTTTTTTTTTTCAAAGAGGACATCAAAATGACCAATAAGCACATAGATACTCAACACCACTAATCAGGGAAATGCAAATCAAAACCCAGATATCACCTCACACCTGTTGGAATGGCTATTATTAAAACTAGAAATAGCAGGAGCTGGAGAGGATGCAAGCAACAGGAAATCTTCAAACACTGCTCGTGGGAATGTAAACTGGTGTGGCCACTTTGGAAAACATGTAAGGGTCCTCAAAAAATTAAAATATAATTACCATATGATCCGGCAATCCCACTTCTATTTAAAGGGAAACGAAAACAGGATTTCGATGGAATCTATATGCTCTGTTTATTGCAGCATTATTCACAACCACCAAGATACCCATCAACAGATGAATAGTTAAGAAGATATTTCAGCCCTGGCCGGTTTGGCTTAGCGGTTAGAACATTGGCCTGAGGTCCAGAGAGACCCGAATTCAGTTCCCGCTAAGGGCACATACCTTGCTTGCAGTTTGTCCCTGGCCCTGGTTGGGTCGCGCGGGTGGCACCACTCGATGTGTCCCTTTCACTTCGATGTTTCTCTCTCTCTCTCTCTCTCCCTCCCACTCTATCTGAACAAAATATCAAAAAATGTCCTTGGGTGAAGATAAAAAAAAAAAAGAAGATATTTCACTCTTACTCACACTCACACACACACACACAATGGAACATTATTTAGCTATGAGAAAGGAGGATATCCTGCCGCTTGTAACATCACGGATGGATGTTAAGGACATTCTGCTGAGAGAGAGACACCAGAGAAAAGACAAGTACTGTCCCATCTCACATATGGAATCTAAAAAAGTCAAACCAGTCTGAGTTTCCAGCCCCATCCCCAGCAGGGGGCGTGCAGGAGGCAGCAGATGGATGTTTCTCAGGGATGTTTCTCTCCCTCTCCCTCTCCCTCTCCCTTCCATTCTCTGAAATCCATAAAAACATTTTTGAAAAGAGTCAAACCTGTAAAAGACAGAGGAAATAAAGCGGTGGTTACCAGGGGGTGGGGGATAACCATGACCTCTTTTAAGGGTGCAGACGTGTCCGGAGTCGTCAGTAAGCCAGAGAGACCTAACGCAGAGTTCGACAAATAGAGACAATAACACTGCACAGTAAATCCTCCCTGAACCTCACAGATAAAATTCTGTGCCTTGAAGCAACACCACATAAGGAAACCGGTTTTACCACAGGTTACGTGATATAAACAATAATTACCTTCCTTGGCATCTCTTTTTTTTTTAATATATAGACAGTCCTCCCCCAGGATTTATCTTGAGAGAGTGGGAGGGAGGCTCAGCGGGCCAGGGCAGTGGGCGGCAGTACTCACGGCTGGGGATGCTCGGCTTCTTCCCCAGGAAACTAGCGGACTGTGTGGGGTGCGCAGGAAGGGGACCCAGGTCCAGGGACCCAGGGACCCCACTCTCACGCCTTTCCCACAACAGACGCTGGTGCAGCCGGGGCGCAGACTGACTGCACAGAACGATCCGAAAGGCGCTCACGATGCGCATGCTCCGCACCGACGAATTGCGCATGCTCCGCACCGACGAATTGCGCATGCTCGCACCGAGGAATTGCGCATACTCCGCACCCACGAATTGCGCATGCTCCGGGACCACGTGGCCGGCTGGCCCCTGGGGCGAGCACGAGGGCGATGGCGTGCGTGCGGAGCTCGCGTAGGAGCGGCGTGCGATGTGGAGTAGCATGCGATGTGGAGTAGCGTGCGATGTAGAGTAGCGTGCGCAGGAGGAGGCGTGCCTGTGGAGCGCGCATGGGCAGCATGTGTTGGGATCGGCATGCGTGGAAGGTGGCGTGCGTCGGGTTGGTGTGCGTGCAGAACACGTGGAGGCGGTATTGCACAGACAGAGTGCCCATAAGATTCCAGAGGGTGCACGCTGCATGCATGCTCTGGACCAATTGCCGTCAGGTCCCCGGAGCGTGCATGCGTGGAGGGCGCTGTGCGTTGTTGAACACGCGTGCGTGGAGCGAGGCAGGAGGCTTGGTGGCCTCTGCAGATCCGTGAGAGATGGTGCGTCCTACCTTTGCTGCCCAGAGGTGGCCCTCCCAACTAAGGCCAGACCTGTCCGGGCTGCTGAGCCTTGTAGTCCCCAGGGCCCACGGACCCAGTTGTCATCCCTTTTGGTGCTCAGTAGGGTGGAGAATCACTCAGTTTTACAGCATTTGAGAGAAATGCTTGCGTTGCATCCCATCTGAATCTGTATTCTTGGGTGCGGAACACCTTGCTCAGCTCGGTGGAAAGTACATGAGCTCGTGCCTCAGCCCTTGTCCTCACTTTGGCGTCAGCAGAAAGATGAGCTTGCAAGGTAGTGTGTGATGAACGCAAATTAGGAATTATGACTGCTCTGGGAGGTCACCAAAGGGCCAGAGATCACCCAAGGATATGTTTTCGTTCATTTTAAAGAGTAGAAGAGCCCTGGCCAGTTTGCTCAGTGGTTAGAGCATCGGCCTATGGACCAGGGAGCCAGGTTCGATTCTGGCCAAGGGCAGGTACCTCGGTTTTGGTTAGTACGGAGCACCGGTTGGGGTCATGGGGGTGGCAACCAGTTGATGTGTCTCTCTCACATCAATGTTTCTCTCTCTCCCCCTCCCACTGTCTGAAGATAAATGTAAAATATCCTTGGGTGAGGATATAAATAAATAAATAAATAAATAAATAAACAAACAAACAAATGGAAAGGGAGAGAGAGAGAAACAGACATCAGATGCCTCCGGTAAACGCCCAACCGAGAACTGAACCCAAAACCTAGGTTTGTGCCCTTACTAGGATTCGAACCAGAAACATTTTTGGTGTACAGGAGGATGCTCCAACCAACCGAGCCACCTGGCCAGGGTAAAAGGCCCTTTTATTTTTAGGTTAACACTTAGAAAGCAATGAGCAGCTGGTAAGGAAAGATGAATGAACCGTGTACTTCTAGAGAGGAACTACTCCCTTAACTCATCAATATTTCCCTCTTAGCTCCTTAGAAAATGGGATTATGCTCTTCCCATTTGGAGAAATAATTGAATGGAAGCTTTTCAATGTCCCTTGATTACTTTCTCTTCTGTAAAAACATAGCACATTAAAAATAGTACTTGTGTGACCTATTTGTCATGGTTTACTAGGGGACAAGTTTACTCAGCCTCAAAGGCAGACACGTTTATTTCTGAGCCCCCCCCCCCCGCTTTTTTTGTTAATCTACCTGCTCTCAGGGGCCATGAGTGTCCAGCTTTTAAGGAAAGCCCAGCATTTTAGGTGCTACTGTGTGCTTGCCCCGCCACTGTGTTGAGCCAATACCAATTTTCTGGTTTTGATAATATACTATAGTTAGTTAGTTATATTACCACTGGGGGAAGCTGAATGATGGGTACATGGGAACTCTGCACACTATTTGGGGGGGGGGGGATGACTCTCAAATTATTTCCAAAAATAATTTTTTTAAAAAGAAAATACCTTGGGCCCTGGCCGGTTTGGCTCAGTGGTTAGAGCGTCGGCCTGAGGTCCAGAGAGACCCGGGTTCGGTTCCCGCTAAGGGCATGTACCTCGTTGGAGTTTGTCCCCAGCCCTGGTTGGTCGTGCGGGTGAAAACCACTCGATATGTCCCTCTCACCTCTATGTTTCTCTCTCTCTCTTCCTCTCTCTCCCTCCCACTCTATCTGAACAAAAAATAAAAAAATTTCCTTGGGCGAGAATAAAAAAATAAATAAATAAATAAATAAATAAATAAATAAATAAAGGGAGCTTGAGCCCTGGCTGGTTTGGCTCAGCGGTTAGAGCGTTGGCCTGCGGTCCAGAGAGACCCGGGTTCGGTTCCCACTAAAAGCACGTACCTCAGTTGCAGTTTGTCCCCAGCCCTGGTTGGGTCTTGTGGGTGGCAGCCACTTGATGTGTCCCTTTCACGTCAATGTTTCTCTCTCTCTTTCTCTTCCTCTTCCTCTCTCTCCTTCCCGCTCTGTCTGAACAAAAAATGGGTAAATGTTTTCGGGTGAGGATAGAAAAAGAAAAAAGAAAAGAAAATGCCTTGGGCACGACTTCAAATGAGATGAGACGGATCTTGGGGTGGGCGGAGCAGTGGCCACATACACCGGATTATGGGGAAGATGTTGTCATTGATAGCATCTGGCTTCCTGGGTTAGTTGCAAGAAGGAAACTGTATACCAGGTGGCGTGGAGAATCAGAGTGTCAGAGCAAAACATCTCCCCACACATCCTGGGGACGAGGACAGTTGGACAGCTTCCATCACCTCAGTTCCCCTTCCTTTTTTAACTGTTAAACTGAAGACAGGATATTGGTCTGGGGGCGAAAGGGACGCTATGATCACAGGATTCCTGTCCCTGCTTTGCCTTGGTGAGTCTCCAGGACCGGGAGGGGTGGATTTGGATAGGTGAGAGAATTCGTGGTGGAGTTATCATGGGAAGCATGGCAAGTACAGAAATGATGACTTCTGTGTGTTGGATGCATGCCACCTGTCCGTTTTGTGGGCTGTGAGATGCGCGTGCCTTCATTCTGATGTTCGCACAAAACGATGAGGGGCCCGAGGTTCAGAGACTGTGGTAATGCCCTCTGTTTACTCAGCTGAGAAATTCAGAGCTCGGATGGGATCTCCAAATCCGGATCCTCTAACCACCACAGTCTTGCCATGAAAGTTCCACTGGTGTATAGGAGGGCATGGTCTACAGGGTGTAAAAAGCCATGGGTTTGGGTACAAACCAGGTACACAGAGAACAGTGCCTGGGGACAATGTTTAAGGAGAAAATCGTCTGACCAGCCCTATCCTCAGCCTGATTTTAATTGTCGTCAACTTGAACATAACGCAGGCAGACAGACCTCAGCCTGGAAAAGGGATGACCTGGATTATAATCTGGGGTTGGGCTCACAGCTCCATTTCCCTAAGCCCCCCCCCCCTTCGTGAGTGGAGAGTGTGCAGGAAACCTCAGTACGTATCTGCCCCAGTTCCTTCCTCCTTCTGGGTGCAGCTCTTCCCTTTGGGGTAATTCTTCTTCCACACACACTTGAACTTCAGAGGTGGCTGTTGACCTCCATCTGCAGGGCAGAGTACACTGGGCAGTCAGACACTGACTTCATCGTCCCCCGTATTTATTTCCTGTACCACAAATTCTCTCCGTTTGGTTGAGGGAGAAAACCCTCCCTGACACTCCACGGGAAAATAACCAGCGCATCATTTATGTGGTGAGGATAAACTTCAATCCCAGAAAATATGAGAGAAAAATATAGGTCAATGTTCAGGGACTTATAGATGGCGAAAGGACTAACCGTAGAAGCTTTGTTATAGCACCCAATGCAATAAATCAGAAAAGGTTGCCAGAAGGCTCCCCATAAACATAACTTCTGAAGGACAAAGGATGGGATAAAAGTAAAAGGTAAAATAAATAAATAAACCCAAGGAAGTATCTGCAAGGGACACAGCAGATCTTTAACGAAGTAGTCAAGCATTCTCTGCCTCATTTGTGCCTGGAGACAGGCACATCATTGAACTCTCATGAGGGTTTCTCTTCCAGGGCTCTGTCTGGGCTATGAAGTTGAGCTCGAGAATGGTGAGTTGTGTCTCATATGCACTCTGTTTATATATCCCAAGTTTCATGGTGTTTGAAAAATTATTTTTCAGGCCTGGCGAGTTTGGCTCAGCGGTTAGAGCGCCGGCCCACGGACCAGTGAGTCCCGGGTTCAGTTCCCGCTAAGGGCACGTACCTCGGTTGCAGTTTGTCCCTGACCCTGGTTGGGGCCGTGTGGGTGGCAACCACTCAGTGTGTCTCTCTCACATCGATGTTTCTCTCTTTCTCCCCCCCCCCCCGCCCCCAGCTCTCCCTCCCACTCTATCTGAAGATAAATGCAAAAATGTCCCTGGGTGAGGATTAAAAAAAAATTATTTTTCAATTACAGTTGACATACAATATTATATTAGTTTCAGGTGTACAATGGACTGATTAGACATTTGCCTTACAAAGTGATTCCCCCATTAAGTCTAGTACCCACTTGGCATCATATGTAGTTATTACAATATTATTGACTATATTCGCCATGCTGTAGTCTACATCTCCATGACTCTTTTGTTACTGCCAATCTGTGCTTCTTAACCCCTTCACCTTCTTCACCCAGTGTCCCAACACTCATCCCCTCTGAGAGCTGTCAGACTGTTCTCTGTATCTATGAATTTGTTTCTGTTTCATTTGTTCATTTATTTAGCTTTTATTATTTTTCTTTATTGATTCTCAGAGAGAGAGGAAGGGAGAGGGAGAAAGAGAGAGAGAAACATCGATGAGAGAGAACATCAACTGGCTGCCTCCTGCATGCCCCCCACTGGGGATTTGGCCCACAACTGGGCATGTGCCCTGACTGGGAGTCGAACTAGCAACCTCTTGGTGCATGGGTCAACACTTAACCACTGAGCCACACCAGCCGGGCCATTTGTTTTGCCTTTAGCTTCCATATATGAGTGAAATTATATGGTATTTGTATTGCTGTGTCCAACTTATTTCACTCAGCATAAAACTTTCTAGGTCTGTCCATGTTATTGCAAATGGCAAGATTTCATTCTTTTTTTATGGCTGAGTCACCTCACCTTTTCCCTTTAATCCTCTGAATTCCCGGAACGTGTTCATGGTCATCAAGATAACGAGTTAAAAGAATCAAGTAAAGTGCCCTGGCCAGTTTGACTCAGTGGTTAGAGTGTCAGCCTGTGCGTCAAAGGGTCACAGGTTCAATTTCCAGTCAAGGGCATGTACCTGGGTTGCAGGGTTGATCCTCAGCTCCTTCCGGGACACATGCAGGCATGTGCCGGAGGCAACCAATCGATGTGTGTGTCTCTCTCTCCCCCCACCCCCCTTCCACTCTTTCTAAAATTCAGTGGAAAAAAAATACCCTCAGGTGAGGATTAACAAAAAAGAAGAGTCGAGTAAAGTATATGATTGTCTAACCACATGCTGTACCCCTGAAACTAATATAAAATATTGAATGTAAAGTGTAATTGAAAAATGCAATTAAAAAAAAAAAGATAATGAGCCCAACTAATTCTAAATTCTTTCCAGAGAAGCTTTCCAAACCCTCCCTCAACGCCTTGCCAGGACCCGTGGTTAAACGCAGTAGGAATGTGACCCTGAGGTGCCAGGGTCACTTTCAGAATGTGACGTTCATGCTGGGGAAGTTACAGGACCCTGGGTACAGGCAGGAGCAGAACTCATCAGGCTACCATGCCGAATTCCTCCTCACGGACCTGGAGCCAAAAAATGCTGGGACATACTTTTGTGCCTACAAGACAGTGGGCTCCCACGGATGGTCGCAGAAGAGTGAATACCTGCAGCTGGAGGTCACAGGTAAGCAGGGCAGCCTCAGGCTTTTCAACTTGGTGCCCTTGTTCCTTGTCCTGTGATGGGACCTGGCAAGGGAAGAAGGAATCCAGAAAACACAAAGGCAGATGCAGCACCTCGAGTGTAAGGAAATGGGGAAATGGGAGCTGAGTGTGGAGATAAGACTCTCATCAGGGATTCTGAGTGGGTCTCAACGATGTGGGTGTGGGGCAGTGTTTGTTGTTGTTGTTGTTGTTGTTGTTGTTAGCTATTGATTTTAGAAAGAGGAAGGGAGAGAAAGAGAGAGAAACATTGATTTGTTGGTCCACTGACTTATACATTCATTGATTGACTCCTATATGTGTCCTGACCAGGGATTGAACCGGCAACCTTAACATATTGGGCCAACGCTCTAACCAACTTAGCTACCTGGCCAAGGCAGTTGGGACAATGTTTTAGAATAGAGGTATTGCCCTGGCCGGTTTGGTTCAGTGGTTAGAGCGTCGGCCTGCGGTCCAGAGAGACCCAGGTTCGGTTCCCGCTAAGGGCATGTACCTCGGTTGCAGTTTGTCCCCGGCCCTGGTTGGGTTGTGCGGGTGGCAACCACTCGATGTGTCGCTTTCACGTCGATGTTTCTCTCTCTCTCTCTCTCCCTCCCACTCTACCTGAACAAAATATGGAAAAATGTCCTCGGGTGAGGATTTAAAAAAAAAAAAAAAGAATAGAGGTATTAACAGAAATTTTGAGGTGCTACAAGGCTAAGGGATCAAAAGACAATTGAGCCCTGGCCGGTTTGGCTCAGCGGTTAGAGCGTCGGCCTGCGGTCCAGAGAGACTCGGGTTCAGCTCCTGCTAGGGGCGCATACCTCGGTTGCAGTTTGTCCCCGGCCCTGGTCGGTTGTGCGGGTGGCAGCCACTCGATGTGTTCCTTTCACATCGATGTTTCTCTCTCTCTCTCTGTTCCTCTGTCTCCCTCCCACTCTACCTGAACAAAAAATGGGAAAATGTCCTCTGGTGAGGATAAAAAAAAAAAAAAAAAGACAATTGACATTGAAGAGATAGTTTGGTACAGTTCCCAAGAGGCCATGCAGGGCCTCATTGGGAGGCACCAGGGTTAGGAAGCAGAGAGAGAGGGCTGTGGGAAGGAGCCTTTATTGTGGTTTCTACGGGAATCAGCAAGCTTAGGGTTGGGACAAAGAGGCTGCCCCAGGTTGTCTGGGACCTGGCCCTGGGGTGATTAGGGCAGGGTAATAGTGACCTGAATGTGAGAGCCCAATGAAGAAGGTGTTTGGGAGTGTGGGCTCTGGATTGGTTGGTTTGCATTTGAGGGGTGTGCTCAGTGGAGAGTTGTTTTCTATCTCTAGAAATTGGCTAACCTGAGAGGGGAACCCCTCTAAAACCAGCAAGGTCCCACAATGTCAAAACATCAGATGTAGAAAAATGAAAGAGCTGGTTAATACAGAGAGATGAGTGAGAATGTCTTCAGGTGCTGTGAGCAATGGGAAGCCCTGTTTCTTCCCTTCACCGTAACTGCCTTGTCCTCTTAGGGATCACGCCCAAAACCTTCCCTCAGGCAACGTAAAGCCTGAGATGAATCCAGCTCTCAGTAGGACACTCTGATGTCTGATTCCATACGACAGAACTGAATGTATCCTATTGCTCTGCAGAAAAGGGGAATCCCACAACCATTACAAATTGAGAAAGTAAAAAAAAACACAACACAACAACTGAGCCTGATGGTGGCATAAGACATCCCTTATTTCTGTCCCTCCCTTCAACCACAAAAATTCAGCATCCATCCACAAACAAAAGTGTTTCTGTGGGAATTGTGGAATCCAGCACCATATGTCAAGGGACCCTGGAGGAGTTTCACCCACCTGCGCGTCAGGTAATAGGCAGATAGACCTCGCTACCAGCTGTGGAACTTGCAGGAGACCGTCACCAGTTCCAGCCCCTCTTGGCTGTGGTCCGAGAGCACCTGAAGAACACAGACTTGGGCAACTGCCTGTGGATGAGAGCACCTTTGTGTGAGTCTACAAACCAAGGCTGAATCATGAATAAATAGAAAATCTGAACAGAACAATAATGGGTAAGGAGATTGAATCAGTAATGAAAAACAAACAAACAAAAAAAAAACACACCTCCCAACAACAACCAAAATAGACCAGGACCGGTTAGTTTCACTGGTGATTCTACCAAACATTTAAAGAAGAGATGATGCCAATCCTTCTCAAACTCTACCAAAAAATTGAAGAGGAAGGAACACTGCCACATTCATTTTTCCCTGATACTAAAACCAGATGAGGACAGCCTGGCCGGAGTAGCTCAGTGGATTGAGCATTGTCCCATGGGTTTCCAGTTCAGACCCTTAGGCCTGCAGGCTGATGCTGTAACCACTGAGCAACACCGGCCAGGGCTCATTTCTATGCACTAACAACAAAATACCCTAGAAAGAATTACAGAAAACAATCCCACTCACCATAGGATCAAAAACAATAAAATACTTGGAAATAAATTTAACCAAGGAGGTGAAATCTCTGTACACTGAAAACTACAAGTTTCTGACTAAAGAAATTGAAGATACAAAGAAATGAAAGATCCCATGCTCATGAATCAGAAGAATTAATATTGTTAAAATGTCCATATTACCCAAAGCCATCTATAGATTTAATGCAATCTCTCTCAAAATGCCAATGACATTTTTCATAGAAACAGAACAAACAACCCTAAAATTTGTATGAAATAGACAGAAGACTTTGACTAGTCACTGCAACCTTGAGAAAGAGGAACAAAGTTGGAGGTATCACAATCCCTCATTTTAAACTATACTGCAAGCCTGTAGTAATCAAAACAGCATGGTACTGGCATAAGACTAGACACATAGATCAACAGACTAGAATAGAAAGCCCAGAAATAACCCCTCACATATCCAGTTAATATTTGACAAAGGTGCCACAAATACTCAATGGGAAATGGATAGTCTTTTGAACAAATGGTGGGTCAACCAGATAGCCACATGAAGAAGAATGAAATTGGTCCCCTATCTTACACCACTCCCAAAAATTGTCTGAAAATGGACTACAGACTTAAACATAAGACTTCCAAACCATAACACTCATAGAAGAAAACATAGGGGAAAAATCTCCTTGACATTGGTCTTGGCAACATTTTTTTTCTTTTTTCTTTTTGGCTATGATATCAAAAGCACAAGAAACAAAGACAAAAAGAAATAAGTGGGATTGCATCAAACTGAAAAACCTCCATATGACAAAGGGAACCATGAACAAAATGAAAAGGTGCCCTGGCCACTTTGGCTCAGCGGTTGAGCGTCGGCCTGCGGACCAGAGAGTCCTGGGTTCGGTTCCCGCTAGGGGCACATACCACAAAAAAGAAAGAAAGAAAGAAAGAAAGAAAGAAAGAAAGAAAGAAAGAAAAGGTGACCTATCAAATATTTGCAAAATGATGGTGCTCCTGGGTGAAAGAGGTAGAGGGACTAAGAAGCACTAATGGGTAGCTACAAAATAGTCATAGGGAAGTAGATACAGCAAAGGAAATTATAGTCAATAATATTGTGATAACTGTGTGTATGGTGCCAGCTGGGATACTGGAAATATTGAGAGGGATATTGTGTAAATTATATGATTGTCTGACCACTAAGCTGTACACATGAAACCAATACCTAATAAAAAATATATATTTAAATAAATTAAATAAAAAACAAAACAAAATGGTGGAGCCCTTCCCTGGGATAGAGAAGATTGGCAAGAAATAGCATTGGTGGGGGGATTAGTGATGTCATTCAGAAATGTTTTTGTTAATAAAAATAATATAAAACTCCAGGAGTATTAAGAAGAGGAATCTAATGTCCTGGCCCTTGTTTGGAGACCCAGTGAGATAGTCTCTTCTCTGCTTCCCAACAGAGTCCATTAAGTAGAGTATGAGCACTTATATCCCCAAGGTTCCCATATAATCATTGTAACTACTTCTTTTGCATCCTGTTTTCTAGATGACCGTGTTGAACTTGGAGCTTCCTCAACAAAAACAGGTAAGATGATTACAGAAGAGATGTTTTTACTAATTCTATCCATCTCACAAGGCAGGGGATCCCTTTTGACTGAGAGGCACAAGGAGAATTTTTTGTTGCTGCTGTTGTTATTAATCCTCACCTGAGGATATTTTTCTATTGATTTTTAGAGAGAGTGGAAGGAAGGGAGGGAGGAGAAGAGAGAGAAACATCAATGTGAGAGAGATACATCAATTGGTTGCCTCCCGCAGGACCCCAACTGGGGCCGGGGTCAAACCTGCAACCCAGGTACATGACCTTGGCCAGATCAAACATGAGACCCTTTTATATTTTTAGCTCTCTTATAATTCATTTTCTGTCTTTTCTATTGGAATATAATTCACATTCCCTAGCTGCACCCCTTCAAAGTGTACAAGTCAGTGGCATTTTGTATATTTGCACTAATATAACTTCCCAAAACAAAGTCTTGTACCCACTAAGCAGTCACTCCTCAGTCCCTTCTCCTGTCAGGCCCTGAACATCCTGAATGTGCTTTTTGACTCTGTGGTTTTGCTTACTCTGGACATTTCCTACAAATGGAATCACACAACATGTGGTCTTCTGTGTCTGGCTTTCTTTCACTCAGCAACGAGGTTTTGTTGTTGTTGTTTTAATCCTCACCCAAGGATCTTTCTTCCATTGATTTTTAGAGAGAGTGGAAGGGAGAGAGAGAAACATCAATGTGAGAGAGACACATTAATCGGATGCCTCCTGCATGCACCCCAACCGGGTCCGGGGATTGAACCTGCAACCCAGGTACATGCCCTTGACCAGGAACCGAACCTAAGGCCCCTTGGTGCTTGGACCAATGCTCTAACCACTGAACCACAATGGCCAGGGCCCATTATCATGTTTCCAAGGTTTATCTGTGTTGTAATAGGAGTCTGTGCTTCGCTCCTTTTCATGGCTGAATAATATTCCATTGTGTGGATAGACCACCCCTTGTTTCTCCATGCATCCATTGATGGACATTTAGGTTGTTGGTACTTCAGGCTCCTCTAAATAGTGCCGCTGTGAATGGGGGTGTACAAGTGTCTGAGTTCCTGCTTTCAACTAAGTTTTTCTTACGAGCAGGCTTGCTGGGACATATGGTAACTATGTTTAACTTTTTGAGGACCTGCCAGACTGTTTGCCAATGTGGCTGCACCATTGTACCTTCCCACCAGTCATATATGTGGGTTCCAATCTCTCCACATCCTTGCCAATCCGGTTAATTTCCTCTCATTTTATTATAGCCATCCAAGTGGGTGTGCATATATCATTTCTTAAAATGTGCTGTCTCTCTCTTTTTTTTTTTTTTTAGAGAGAGGAAGGGAGAGAGAGAGGAATATTAACTTGTTTTTTCACTTATTTATGCATTCATTGGTTGATTCTTGTATGTGTCCTGCCCAGGGATCAAACTCACAATGTTGGCAGACTGGGACAACACTCTAACCAACTGAACTACCCGCCAAGGCAGTGTGTGGGTTCTTGACTTTGTGCAGGAAAGATTTCACAACGTGAGTCCTGGTGATTTTTAGCGGATGTTTATTAAAGCTGCGGACAGTGAAACAAGGAAGGGCCCAGGATAGAAGAAGCAACAGGAGAGCCCCGGCCGGGTTGCTTTGGCTCACAGGGAAGTCAGAGAAAAGAGGGCCTTGGAGACAGGTTCAGGGGTTTAGCCCAGGACGAGCTGCCATTGCACATTGTTCCCCTGGTTGCAAGTCTCTTGGCGTCCCCTGGGAAGGGGATAGAGCGGGCATGCTCCTGGGAGACAGAGTGCTTCTTTTTTTCTTTTTTTTTTTTTAATCCTCACCCGAGGACATTTTTCCATTTTTTGTTCAGACAGAGCGGGAGGGAGAGAGAGGGAGAGAGAGGGAGAGAGAGAGAAACATCGATGTGAAGGGACACATCGAGTGGCTGCCACCCGCACGACCAACCAGGGCCGGGGACAAACTGCAACCGAGGTACGTGCCCTTAGCGGGAACCGAACCCGGGTCTTTCTGTACCGCAGGCCGAGGCTCCAACCGCTAAGCCAAACTGGCCAGGGCCAGAGTGCTTCTTAAAATGTACTTTCAGCCCTGCCAGTGTGGCTCAGAGGCTTGAGTGTCATCCCTTGGACTGAGAGATCCTGGTTCTATACCTGGTCAGGGCACATGCCCAGATTTCAGGCTCAATCCCCAGTAGGGGGCGTGCAGGAGGCAGCCGATTGATGTTTCTCTCTCCCATCAATATTTCTATCTTTCTCTCCCTTCCTCTCTCTTTTTTTTTTTTTTTTGTTCAGGTAGGGTGGGAGGGAGAGAGAGGAACAGAGAGGGAGAGAGAAACATCGATGTGAAAGGGACACATCAAGTGGCTGCCACCCGCACGACCAACCAGGGCCGGGGACAAACTGCAACGGAGGTATATGCCCCTAGCGGGAACCGAACCCGGGTCTCTCAGGACCGCAGGCCGACGCTCTAACCGCTGAGCCAAACCGGTCAGGGCTCCCTTCCTCTCTCTTAAAAAAATCAATAAAGATATGTTTTTTTAAAATGTACTTTCTGAGTTCACACTTGTTCCACCACAATTCTAAACAGAAGACATCTTTAAGCACAGATACGTTGCCTGCAGCCTGTATATGCAGGCCTCGAAGCTGCCCAGAAGGGACCCTGCGCCTCCATTCTGCGCAGACTGATAATGAGTTTCCTCACCTGACTTTGCCACAAGGCCAGGCTTTGCTTCTGGGTCACACTGCGTCCCATTGCTCAGTCAGGTGCCTCCAGACCCGCATCACAGACCCTCTGTAATTCATTTCGGCTGTTTGTAAATTGATGTGTGAAATCTGACCACGATATGTGGACATCTCGGGGCGAACCCAGTCTGTCAGGTTGTGGGGCCATAGGAAGAGGACGATGTGGTAAGAATCGACTTCTCGTTTCTAGCGAATGGCTATGTGAGAGAAAGTGTAGGCAGGACGAGGGCAGAAGTAAAAGGTTAAGGCTGGGCTGGTGTTCCTCGGCTTCCGTTGAGGGTCTGAGAACAACTGCGCCTGCCCTGTGCTCCTACGTCCGTTCAGATGCCCTGCAGAACCGGTGCTTCTGCGGGTCTCGCGGACTCGATGCAACCAGAAGCCGATGCTTCCGTATCGGTGCAAAAGCGACATTGATGGGAGTGAAGAAGAATTTAGAGGAAAAGAGACTAAACAACAATGGGATAGTCCAGTCCCTCAGCTCAATCCTGCAGAAAGGCACAAAGATGGGCACAAATATGGGATGCCTGGGAGCTAGGCCACTCATGTCCCCACAGATGACAGCCATTGCTAAAGGGTGACCTCGAGTGAGACACATCAATTCCAAGACCTTTGGGCCCTGGTCAGTGTTGCTCAGTGGTTAGAGCATAGCCCCCCGCACCCCAAGGGTCTCAGGTTTGATCCCCGGTCAAGGGCACGTACCCGGGTTGCAGGTTCGATCTCCAGCCCTGGCCCAGGCTCATGCTGGAGGCAGCCAATCAATGTGTCTCTCTCACATCAGTGTTTCTCTCTCTCTCCCCCTCCCCCTCTCCCTCCCTCCCATTCTCTCTAAAAGTCAATGGAAAAAAATATCCTCGGGTGAGGATGAACAACAACAAAAATCCCAAGGCGTTTGGGATCCTCCCAGATGCAGATGTTCGTGTAGGAAAGTGAAAAAAGGCATGATGTGCAGTGCATAACAATGGCAAAGGGTCTGGGGCACCCTGGGGGAGGAAACAATCACAGCACCCGCTATGGAGGGAGGTGGGTGTGGTGGCATACTGGATGAGAACACCATCATCAGCCTTGCGATCTCATCGTGCTGCACAGTGAGGTGGATTCCACGCTGGATGCTTGATCCAGTACATTTTTTCCTTTTTTAATCCTCACCTGAAGAAGATATGTCTTATTATTATTATTATTATTGATTCTAGAGAGAGAGGAAGGGAGAGGGAGAGAGAGAGAGAAACATTGATCGCTTGCCTCTGTCATGCACCCCAACCAAGGATTGAACCTGAAACCTGGGCATGTGCCCTAACTGGGAATTGAAGTCATGACCCCTCAGTGCGCTGGATGGCACTCCGATCATTGAGCCATACCAGCCAGGGCGCCAGTACTTTTCATCATTACCTCTCTCTTTACGTTAGGTATTCTTTTTTTTTAATTTTTTTTTCTTTATTGATTTTAGAGAGGAAGGGAGAGGAAGAGAAAGATAGAAACATCGATGAGAGAGAACATCGATTGGCCGCCTCCTGCATGCCCCCCACCAGGGATTTGGCCCACAACCTAGGCACGTGCCCTGACCGAAAATCGAACCAGTGACCTCTTGGTGCATGGGTCAACGCTCAACCACTGAGCCACCCCAGCCAGGCTCTTTTTATCTACTTTTATTTATTTTTGTTTTTTGAAGTTTTATTGTTCTCTGTATCTGTGAATCTGCTTCTGTGTGTTTGTTCATTAGATTCCACGTATTAGTGAAACCGTATGACCCAGTAATTCTACTTCTGGGTGTTTATCTGAAGAAATACCAAACACTAATTTTAAAAGACATCGGCACTCCTATGTTCATTGCAGTGTTATTTGCAGTAACCAAGACAGGGGAGCGACCTAAGTGCCCATCGACAGACGAGTGAATAAAAAAGGAGGAAATATTGCCACTTGCAACAGCACGGATGGACCTAGAGGGTGTTGTGCTGAGAGACATAAGGCAACTCCACGCTTTTCATTCGTCTGTTTTTATCCTCACCCGAGGACATTTTCACTAATTTTTAGAGAGAGGGAAAAGGGGAGAGAGAAAGAGAGAGGGAGAGCAATGTGAGAGCAACATTGATCAGTTAGACCGTCTCCTGACAGGAGGCCAGAGACTGAACCCAAAACCCGGGCACGTGCCCCCTACTGGGAATCAAACCAGCAACCTTTCAGTGCCCAGGATGACGCTCACCAATGGAGCCACCCTGCCAGAGCGCACCTCCACGTTTTGAAGCCAGGCTGCCTGGCCCCTGTCACCTGTCTTGCTGAACACCATCAGTGTCCACCAGGGCGCTGACTGTCTGACCCCTCTCCCCCCAGACACCAGGATCATCTTCGTCACGGCCTTCAGCTGCCTCGCCATTTTTCTCCTCTTCCCCTCTGTCCTCCTGATCTACAGATGCAGTCAGCAGGGTGAGTTCACAGGTTAAAACCACAGGGGGTGGAGAGTAAAGAGAACGGGTTTCTCATTAGATAAACCCCTCCCTGTGTTTTTGTTTTGTCTTGTTTTGTCTTTGCAGATTCATCACCTGAAGAATCCACCAAGAGGTAGATACACTTGGAAGTCTCACACTCCGCCTTTCAGAGACCCCGTTTTTCACACCCAGCGCCACCCTGTTCCCCTGCCAACCCCCTTCTCCCCGTCTGTGCCGGGGGCCCTTCCTCCTGGCCTCTCCGAAGCCCCCATCATGCCTCCAGAACCTTCGTGTCCCATCGTGTAATTGTGTTTCTCTCTCGCTCAGAACGTGCCACCCCAAATCTCCCAAGCACGAGGCTTCAGGTAAGTGATGCGAGGAGAACCCGGGTGAGAACCACGGGATGGAGACGGGACTACGGCCCTCTGAGGACTGAGCTGGTTTTTTCTCACTTGTGTGCAGATTCATCCAAACCGGAGAGGGTATCGCTCTCGTCCTCGGTGAGTCCTTCCCGTCGGAATCCCCCCACCAGCTCGCTCAGTGCCCAGGCTGGTCCTGTCTACTCCTTGGTTCAGCCCAACTCACACAGCTAGGAGGCCAGTTAACATCGTATTTAAAAACGTGCTTTGGCCCTGGCCGGTTTGGCTCAGCGGTTAGAGCGTCGGCCTGCGGTCCGGAGAGACCCGGGTTCGGTTCCCGCTAAGGGCACGTACTTCGGTTGCAGTTTGTCCCCGGCCCTGGTTGGTCATGCGGGTGGCAGCCACTCGATGTGTCCCTTCACGTCGATGTTTCTCTCTCTCTCTCTCCCTCCCACTCTATCTGTACAAAAAATGGAAAAATATCCTCGGGCGAGGATAAAAAAACAAAAAAAAAGAAATAAAAACGTGCTTTGTCAGCCTGCAGACCAAAGGGTCGCAAGTTCGATTCCCGGTCAAGGGCATGTACCTGGGTTGCAGGTTTGATCCCCGACCAGATCGGGGTCAGGCAGGAGGCAACAGGTCGATGTGTCTCTCTCACATTGATATCTCTCTCTCTCTCCCCCTCTCTCTTTCTCTCTTCCTCCCTTCCACTCTATCTAAAAAAAATAATGGAAAAATGTCCTTAGGTGAGGACTAACAAACAAAAACCCATGTGCTTTGCTCTGACCAGGTGCCTCGGTTGGTGGGAGCATTGTCCCCTACACCCCAAAAGGTTATGGGTTTGATTTCCAGTCATACCTGGGTTTCGGGTTCAATCCCTGGTTGAGGCACACACAGGAAGCAACCAATCAGTTTCTCTCTCTCTCTCTCCCCTCTCGCTCTCTCGTTCTCTCTCCCTCTCTCTCTTACAAATCAATAAATTAAATTTTAAAAGAGAAAGCAGTCAGCACAGCCGGTGTGGCTCAGTGGATTGAGTGTCATCCCATGGACTGAGAGGTCCCAGCTCTATTCCTGGTCAGGGCACATGCCCGGGTTGGCAGCTCGATCCCCAGAAGGGGGTGTGCAGGAGGCAGCTGATCATTGTTTCTCTCTCACATTGACGTTTCTGTCACCCTCTCCCTTCCTCTCCAAAATATCAATAAAAACATTAAAAATAAATAAATAAACAAAGCAGCCAGATACACAAGGCTGTGTATAGCATTGCTCCCTTTATATAGAACTCTCCAGAAAAGGTACATCAATCGTTGCGTACGGCTGGGTGGGGGTGGGGGTGGGGGCAGAAGAGCAAGGTTGAACTGCAGACAGGCACCGGGGAACTGGGGGGAGGGGTGATGCCCGCTGTAAAAAGTGTATCGTGGTGATGGCTGCATCATTCTCGAAATTTACTATAGGTCACCAAATTATGCACATATAATAGGGGGATTTTATGGGAATTTAATATGGAACTTACAGATTATTTATTTGTAAATTGTATCTCCGGTCAGAGAAAGACAAGCATCACAGGATCTCGCTTATATGTGGAATCTAATAAACAAAAGGAAATGATGAATAAAATAGAGCCAGAGGCATGGAACAGAAGAATCTCAGAGGGAGGGGGGCAGGCAGAGATTAGCCAAAGAACTTACATACCGATCTGCAGAACCCACGGACACGGACAACAGGGTGGGGAAGGCCTGGGCCGGGGCGGGAACTGGGTGGAGAGGGGCAGTGGGGGAAAGGGGACGATATCTGTAATACTCTCAACAGTAAAGATGAAAAAAGTATTTATTGAAATTTTAAAAATCGTTACAATGTGAAGAAGCAGGCTACGAAACAGTATGTATAATGTGTCATTTCTTTTTTTTTATCCTCACCCGAGGACATTTTTTCAACTTTTGTACAGACAGAGTGGGAGGGAGAGAGAGAGAGAGAGAAACATCGACGTGAAGGGACACATCGAGTGGCTGCCACCCACAAGACCAACAAGGACCGGGGACAAACTGTAACCGAAGTACGTGCCCTTAGCGGGAACCGAACCCGGGTCTCTCCGGACCGCAGGCCGACGCTCTAACCGCTGAGCCAAACCGGCCAGGGCTAATGTGTCATTTCTGTGAAGAAAAATGTAAATCCATGCATGAAAAAGTGCTAAGACATATATAAGAATATTAGCATTAAGTCCAGCTGGTGTGGCTCAGTGGTTGAGCGCCAACCCATGCACAAGAGGTCACCAGTTTGATCCCCGGACAGGGCACATGCCCAGGTTGCGGGCCGATCCCCAGTGGGCTGTGCAGGAGGCAGCCAATCGATGTTTCTCTCCCATCAACGTTCTCCAACTCTGTCTCCCTCTTCCTTGCTCTCTGTCTAAAATCAATAGAGGACAAAAATGTTTTTAATCTAAGCAGCCACATGTGGCTCAAGGCTACCATATTGGACAGCTGAGCTCTAAAAGCCCAAATGTGGCCCTGGCCGGTTTGGCTCAGCGGTTAGAGCGTCGGCCTGCGGTCCTGAGAGACCCGGGTTCGGTTCCCACTAAGGGCATGTACCTCGGTTGCAGTTTGTCCCCGGCCCTGGTCGGTTGTGCGGGTGGCAGCCACTCGATGTGTCCCTTTCACGTCGATGTTTCTCTCTCTCTCTCTGTTCCTCTCTCTCCCTCCCACTCTACCTGAACAAAAAATGGAAAAATGTCCTCGGGTGAGGATAAAAAATAATAATAAATAAATAAATAAATAAATAAATAAAAGCCCAAATGTGTACCCATCTTTTTTCCCCAAAGACTGAAGACCCCCAGGAAGGGACCTGGGCTGATGGCAACAGCAAGGAACCGGCTGAGGCAGCTCCTGTCCCCACCGAGGAGCCCCCAGGATATTGTGAATGCGCTACGTTGAAAGCGTAGGAGGCTGGCCCGAGCCACGGGAGGAAGGACTGTTTCCTTGGGGAAGACCGTTTGGATTCGGGCGGCTGAGACCACTGGACGTACAGAAATCCATGTCCCTCTGTGTCCTCGGTCCTAATCCATGTCTAAAAACGAAGTCTAGGGGGGAAATACAGACATACCTATATATGGAATCATACTGCATATTACAGTTCTGTGACCCTTTGTATCGCTCTCAGCGTTATGCTTTTGAAATTTGTCCAAATTTGGATTAATTTAAAAAATTAATTTTTTTCGTCTTGCTTCCTCTGAAAAATTACTGGCCCTGGCTGGGTGGCTCGGTTGGCTGGAGCGGCATCCGGTACGCCAAAAGGTTGCAGGTTGGATCCCCGATTGGAGCACGTTCCGGAGGCTACTGATGGATGTTTCTCTGTCATACTGATGTTTCTCTCTCTCCCCCTTCCTCTCTCTCTAGAAATCAATAATGAAACATCTTTTTGGGTGAGGATAAAAAAAAAATTTCCTGGATGAGTTTTCCTAAAATCTGCAGGTGGTTTTAGTATGGTTTTACTTAAAACATAAAGTAGCCCTGGCCGGTTTGGCTCAGCGGTTGGAGCGTCGGCCTGCGGACCAGAGAGTGCCAGGTTTGGTTCCCGCAAGGGACACATACCAAAAAAAAAAAAAAAAAAAGGACTAAGGCCCTGGCTGGTGTGGCTCAGTGGTTAGAATGTCAGCCTTGGTCTTAGCTTTGATTCCCAGTCAAGGGCACTTATCTGGGTTGTAGGTTCCATCCCCAGCCCCGGTTGGGGTGCGTGAGGGAGGCAACCAATCGATGTGTCTCTCTCACATCGATATTTCTTCCTCTCTCTCCCCCACTTCCATCCTCTCTAAAAATCAATGGAAAAAAAAAAATCCTTGGGTGAGGATTAACAACAACAACAAGAAAATAATAATAGAAGAAAGTCATTGTTAAATACAGGAATGAATGAAAGTGCAAAGATTTGGAGTGTATATCAAACTATTCTTAATGCTTAAGCAAATGCTGGATAACTTTTCTCTTTAATATAAAATGATTTTAAGTATTAACTGTAACTGAAAAGTAAAAAAATTCTAAACATTAAGTCTCGGGGGGAAATACAGACATACATATATATGAAATCATACTGCATATTATGTGATCCTTTGTATCGCCCTCACCGTTATGCTTTTGAAATTCATCCAGGTGGTTTTTGTGGGTCTAGCTCATTGTTTACTCCATAGAATTCAGCCATTCACCCTACCACAGAACATTACAAAGCCGTGAAAAGGGATGAGGCACCTTGAAAACATTATTATTATAAGTGCAAGAAGTGAGACAGAAGAAGCGACCTGTTGTAGCATTCCATTTATGAAATACCCAGAATGAATGAATACTTAGAGACAGCAAGCAGATTAGTGGATTCTGGGGGGCTGGGGAGGAGGGAAAGAGGAGGGACTACAGAGGGGCACGGGGTCTCCTTTTGAGGGGATGAAAATGTTGTGGAATTAAATAGTGGTGATGGTTGCATAACCTTGTGAGTATACCAAAAAACACTGAACTGTGCACTTTAGCAGTGTGGGTTTCTGCCTGGCTGGTGGGGCTCAGTGGATTGAGTGTCGCCCCACGGACTGAGAGGGCCAGGTCCGATTCCCAGTCAGGGCACGTGCCTCGGTCCTGGGCTCAATCCCCAGTAGGGGGCGTGCAGGAGGCAGCCGATCGATGTTTCTCTCTCACATGGATGTTTCTCTCTCTCTCTCCCTTCCCCTCTCTCTAAAAAAATCCATAAAAACATATTTAAAAAAATAAAATAAAAAGAAGTGTGGGTTTTATGGTAGGCAGATTATATCTCAATAAAATGGATGTTTGAAAAGAATGCAAACGACCGTTTCTCTTTCTTCTTTCCTCGAATGTTAGCTGCTTGGGTTGCTTCCAGTGCTATGCCATCAGCAAAGCCCTGCAATAAACACCCTGTCCCGCCTTCTGTTCGCAAGTGTGCTCTCTCTAGGGTAGATATTTAGAAGTAAAATCTGTCTTCCATCCACGCCTTTCAGCCCACGAGAAGAGAGAAATGGATCATGAAGGTGGTTTCACGTATATTCCTACCAGGATATATGTATTTCCAGTTCCTCCGCATCCTTGCCAATTCATGAAGGTATTGAACTTCATCATTTTTGCTGATAAAACTATGGGAACTCATAACCTGTTTTAAGCTGCCTGTAAAAAGATATCTTATTGCTGTTTTATTTTGCATTTTCCTGTTATGAGTGAGGTTTATTGACCCTTCGGGGTCCCTCTTCTGTGAGCTGAAGGTTTCTATCTACTGTTTCTTTTTCTGTTAAAATTGCTGGTCTTTCTCTTACTAAGGGCGTATTTACGCAGTAGGCACCCTTTTCCTGTGTAAGGGATATGTTGCAAATACCTTGTATTGTCATTCTTTTTGCTCCTTTTAATGATAACTATTCAGAGTAATTCATCTTTTTACTTCTATTTGGAGGGGGAGTTCTTTGTGTCTTGGCTAGCTTTACCTGAGAAATGTACAGTCCTGTACGTTCATCAAAGTTTTAAATGTAAAAAGTGTTGTTGTTTTTTTATATTTAATGTATCTGAAATTAATGCCTGTCTAAAGTGTGAGGTATGGGTCTGATTTCTCCACTTAGGTCATCAATTGTCCTCATGTCCCCTATTGAAAGGCTCATTTTCATTTAAACTGTGTCTTCAGTCCAGCCGGTGAGGTCAGTGGTTGAGCGTCACCCCAGGCACCAAGAGGTCACCAGTTCGATTCCCAGTCAGGACACATGCCCAGGTTGTGGGCCAAATCCCCAGCAGGGGGCATGCAGGAGGTGGCCAGTTGATGTTCTCTCTCATCGATGTTTCTCTCTCTCTCTCTCCCTTTCCCTTCCTTTCTCTCTGAAATCAATAAAGGAGAAAAACATAATAAACTGTGTCTTCAATGTATTCAAATCTGACTATTCCTATTTTATCTAGCCCACCTTCCATTATTAGAGGTAGTCAGAGCATCATCTCATGCACCAAAAGTTCTCGGATTCGATTCCTGGTCATGGCACATGCTCAGGTTGAAGGTTCAGTCCTTGGTTGGGGAGTGATCAGGAGGCAACCAATCGCTGCTTCTCCCTCACATAGCTGTTTCTGTTTCTCTCTCTCTCTCTCTTTCTCTCTCTCTCTCTCTCTCTCAAATCAATAAACATATTCTGGGGTGAGGAGTATTTTTTCAAATATAATAAAAGGAGCCCTGGCCGATTTGGCTCAGCGGTTAGAGCATCAGCTTGTGGTCCAGAGAGACCCGGGTTCGGTTCCCGCTAAGGGCATGTACCTCGGTTGCAGTTTGTCCCGGCCCTGGTTGGGTTGTGTGGGCGGCAGCCACTCGATGTGTCCCTTTCATGTCGATGTTTCTCTCTCTCTCTCTCTCTCTTCCTCTCTCTCCCCCCTACTCTATCTGAACAAAAAAATGGAAAAATGTCCTTGGATGAGGATAAAAATGAGAATGAAAAGGAGGAGGAGGAGGAGGAGGAGGAGGAGGAGGAGGAGGAGGAGGAGAGGAATTGAATCATATAACCAAACTAAGGCCAAGACTGAGCTAGAGAGACAGCCTCAGACGACTGCCTCTGGTACTCAAATGTCAATTAGACTCTTCTGCTTCTTGTCTCTACTTATCTGTGTTATCATTATTATTCAGACCAGCTGTGCCTCTGAGCCTGGAGCTAGCTGATCGTGACAATTCTGGGCTTGCCAGCATAGAGGTAAGGGAGACTTTTTACTTATTGGATCCATTTAGAGAAAGTTGCTAGAAAGCCAACTCCCCAAAGTGTTAAACACAGAACCAAAAAATAAAAATAAAATCCAGTGTTTTTCTGCCTTTTGTTTATCACCTGTGCCATAGTTGAGGAGACTATGTATCTCCTTGTACAATTACTACAACAAATACACAAAGAAAAACCTCCAGGTCTTATCTTTAGCTAAAGCATACCCACCTTATCAGGAATAATAACAGAGGAGCTGGTTTAGCGTCTGTCCACGCAGACACTATTAATACATGACAGAAAAACACCCAGAGAAAAAGCGGAAAGGAACTCAGATGGTTAGAATCAAAGGAAATTATTTTTCCAGTCTTACCGATAACAGTGGCAGAACCGATCTGAAACCCAGGGGCCTGCTGACTCCTGGAACAGAGCTGGGCAAATTTTTCCTGAAAAGGAGCAGAAAGTAATGCTTTCGCTTCTGTCAGCAGCCAAAGGATCTCTGTTGAGACTGCTCAATTCTGCTGTGACAGCAGGAAGACAGCTGTAGCTGGTGTGTGAAAAGTAGGTGCAGCTGTGTTCTAATAAAACTTTATTTGCAAACACAAGTGGTGGGCCGTATTGGCCAACGCCTGTCCTAGAACAGTGCTTTTTGAAATCTGAATGAATTGCCAGAATAAGAATTGAATTAGCCCTGGCCCCGTAGTTCAGTTGGTTAGAGCGTTGTCCTGATATGCCAACGTTATGGGTTTGATCCCCGGTCAGGGCACATACAAGAATCAACCAACGAATGCATAAATAAGTGGAACAACAAATCGAGGTTTTGCTTTCTCTTCCTCTCCCTTCCACCGTCGGTGGTGTTTCGTCTTAGGAAATTAATCCAGGGAAGTGAGGCGGGCCCATGAAGCAAGGCCATTGGTTAACCCGGCTCCACAGTCCCTTCGGAATTCATTAACAAAACACAGGTACATGCCCTGGCCGGTTTGGCTCAGCGGTTAGAGCATCCGCCTGCGGTCCGGAGAGACCCGGGTTCGGTTCCCGCTAAGGGCACGTACCTCGGTTGCAGTTTGTCCCCGGCCCTGGTTGGTCGTGTGGGTGGCAGCCACTCGATGTGTCCCTTTCACATCAATGTTTCCCTCTCTCTCTCTCTTCCTCTCTCTCCCTCCCACTCTATCTGTGCAAAAAATGGAAAAATGTCCTCGGGTGAGGATAAAAAAAAAACAAACAAAAAAAACCCACAGGTACAAATGAGGCAGGCCAGTGAGCCAGGACAAGTGGAATAGGGAAACTGAGGCAGGCAGCTGAACAAACGGACAGAATAATTTACCGCGAACAGAGAAGCTCACTTCCCTAGAAATGACATCTAGGCCTTGTTGTGTTTCCGCTCTAGGCCAGAAAAGCAGAAAACCAGATGGGAGACACCAGGACCAGCTGCAGTGACTAACGACTCCAGCCCCGACACTGACCAATCAGTGAGGACCGTGACCCTGAAGGCGCACACCTGGAAAACTGATTACTATTGTGCTGAGAGCTCCCCTATGATTCCCACCTGCAAAAGAGATAAAGGACTCAGCCTGTGCTCTCCTTCCGAGGAGCACGCCTATGCCCCCCACTTCATTCCCCATGGGCGCTTATCTCCTGGACACGAAGGGACCCCACGAGGCTTGCAACCAGGGCAGCAAAGGGCAGTTGTAGTTCATCCCCAGCAAACCCCCTGAACCTGTCCCCAAGGCCCCCTTTTCTCTGACTTCTCAGTGAGTCAAAGCAGCCCAGCCTGGGCTCATTTCCCCAGCCCTTCCTTGGTTCACTGTCCCCCGGCCTTAATAAACGCCCTCTAAAATTCACCTGGACTCATGCTGT